ATTTATTTTTAATTGAAAAAAATTCAAGTCGATCTTTTCTTACACGTGCTCTAAAAATTTTAGATGTTTTTATTGTTATTATAAACTATATAGCAAAACATATAGCACTTCAATAGTTTCTACTTATACTCCCCAAAAAACCATAAATGTGACATTGATTACATGTCAAATTATGCAACCATTCCTCACCACCCTTATCTGAGTGTACAAATTCGTTTCCCACAAAGTTTTTTTTTAAATGTTTTATTAGGGGCTCATACAACTCTTATCACAATCCATACACACATCAATTGTGTAAAGCACATCTTATTCCATCTTTCAAGTGACTGCTGTCAATCTGATACCATAACCATCAGTGATGCTCAAGGCAGGCATCCTTTGATCTCACTCACTCTTTGGTGTGAGTTGGATGAAGGGTTACAGAGCAGACCATTTTTCAATCGAACAGTAATGCACATTTCATGCCATGGATGGTAGTCACCACAATGTAACTAACACCACTTTTCCCACTCCTTCCACAAACGTTCTGTCTCCATTCTTTCTTTTCTAGCCTTCTGAACTCTGTGCTTTGGCAGATACTGCCTTTGAGATCCCAACCCGTTATTTAGTCTAAGGTGTAATTGTTCCCTTTATAGAACTGTCTATTGTTTGACTAACATCTGAGCTACTGGGTGAGTTCATTTTGAGACTCTATGGGTGACTAAGGGCCTAAATCTTAGGAGTCCTACCGGTCTCTATCTGACCAGAAACCCTGGTCTCTTTTAAGATTTTGTGTTCTGTTCCCCATTTTTTTTTCCTCCCACTCTATCCAGGCCCTTTTAAGGTGATCCTTTTTAGGAAGGTTGATAGAGGTAGCTGGGCACCATCTAATTCTTCCGACTTCAGGGTTATGGAGATGAAGGTAGCCATTCTTTACCAGCTAAGTTAAATGATAGTTTTGTTTTATGGAGGCTTCTGGGGATATTTCTGGGTTAAGGGTTAAAGTTGATCTCCATGCATTTTTTCAGGGGTTCATCTAGCCTCCATCGCTCCAGAAATTCTAGAGTCCTTGAGAAGTATTTGAAATTCCACTTTGCATTTTGCCTCTTGTAGGGGAAATAATAGGTGATCAGAATGTCAGTGATGCCTACCTAGGCTTGTTTCAAAGGCCTTCTTTCCTTGACCAACCAGGTGATGCTGACGCTGACAGCAAAACGGCTGGCCAAGAAGAACTGCCTGGTGAAGAACCTGGAGACGGTGGAGACCCTCGGCTCCACCTCCATCATCTGCTCTGACAAGACTGGGACTCTGACGCAGAACAGGATGAGTGTGGCCCATCTGTGGTTTGACAATCAGATCTTTGTGGCCGACACCAGTGAAGACCATTCAAGTAAGTTTCATGGAATATTCTGCAGGATCCAAACCTATGGACCTAAGCGTAGTGCCATGCACTCTCTGAGAATTTTTTAAGCAGCAGCAATATTTTTATAGTACATCTCAGCCACCACTATCTGTTCTTTGATTTCCAGACCAGACCTTTGACCAAAGCTCAGGAACCTGGACCTCCCTCGCCAAGATAATCGCGCTGTGTAATCGAGCTGAGTTCAAGCCAGGACAGGAAAGTGTGCCCATCATGAAGGTGAGGCATCTGCTTAACTTGGTCTTAAGTCATAGCCCCTTGAAGCTACTTCCTCTGTTCTGTTGGCACATGTTTTAATCTCTCCAATTGATTAAAGTCTATAGCAAATCTGACTAATAAGATATGAAGAAAAATTCCTTCCCTCTGGCTAGGGTTGAGAATTCACAAAAAACTTAAAGATTCTCGGAATGTTGATTTAGGTAATTTTGAAAATGGTTTCATTCCAGTGACAAATATTTCTTTACATTATTTTCCTTCCCTAATTCTTTGTCACCTAACAGTGTAATCTGCTATTGCTTTTTGACATGAATGCTATTTACTGTATTTTCAAATATGATGTCAAGTAAGAAAAGTATTGTTGAGAAAAGCAGAAACCTTTACTAAGCAAAAATATCAAAATATGAAGTGCTGGCTTTTTGACATATCCTCCATCTGGGTTTATTCTCTTCTGAAAGTTGTTTCTAGCTCTCAAACCCTAACTCAAACCACTTTGCCTCTTCTCCATTAGAACAGTTTACGTCTACTCGAATCCCTCTATTGTACTGCAAATGTCTTCATTGCAGAATATCTCTGGCTCCTTGTTTTCAGTCTTGCGAATTTGTTTCACTTTGAGGATTACTGATTTAAGTGGATTGATTTTTAGGTGTTGGCATGGGAATGTTGAACTCAGGTTGATCACTTCTATTTTTGAGTCTCTGAACAGTGAACTCCCTTTAGTACTTTTGGTGTTAGGTATTAATTTTACAGATACTTTTACTTTCTCTTTATTTGGAAATGTCTTTATTTTCCCTCATTTGGGAAATAATTTTGTTGGATATAAGATTCTTGGTATATATGCATATATATATATTCAGAATTTTATATATGTCAGCACATTGCCTTCTTGCCTGCAGGGTTTCTGTTGAAAAATTTGAGCTTATGGTTATTGGCTCCCTTTGTAGGTAACTTTTCTCTCCACTCCCCACCCCCACCCTACCCCACCCCCCATCCCCACCCCCACCCCCACCAAGCTGCTCTTGAGTCTTTCCTTGCTTTTGATGTTGAAAAGCTTGGCTATAATATGACACATTTTCTTTTTAGGTCTATCTTGTTTGTAGTTCTTTCGGTTTTTTAATTGTTATTTTATCCTTTTTTATGTTGTTATGGATGTTTTCTTTAATAGTTCTAGGACTCCTTACTCTGTGCTTTTGTTGTTGCTTCTTCCTGCTCTGGAATCCCAACCAATATCTAGTTTTGTGAAGAACTTTTAACACTTTCCTATTTTCTACTTTTTGAGTTTAGAGTCGAGCTGGCTTTCACATCCCTCTAAAAGAGTGATTCTCAAACTTCCTAATGCCATGACCCTTTAATAATGTTCCTCATGTTGTGGTGACACCCAACCACAAAATTATTTTCGTTGCTACTTCATCACTGTAGTCTTGCTATTGCTATGAATTGGGTGACTCCCGTGAAAGGGTTGTTCAACCCCCAAAGGGGTCGTGACCCACAGGTTGAGAACTGCTGCTCTGAAACCTTAATCATCCTTCCTTGATCATCTTTACCTCCAGGGTTCATATTAGCATCTATCCCTATGTATATCTCTTTCGGCATGGTATCCTGGTTTCTCTATGTTTTTTTTCTGCTTGTTTGGTTTTTTAATCTATAACCACCCACTTTTCAAAATGTAGTTCAAATGCCACTTCTTTCGTGAAACATCACAGTCCTCATTAAGCTCCAGTTTGTCGGCTTTTCTAACCCCAGCAGGTAACATTGTCTTAAACATTCACTAACTGTCACGTAGTCATCTTGTCTCTCCTGCTAGACTGTAAATTCTTAGTCAAAAATACACATTGGTTCCTATGCTAAAATCAGGTTGGGTTCATTGAAAATAAACACAAAAGAACCAGAGTACATAATGCAAATATCTATTTCTTTTCATTCCCAGAAAACTGTGGTTGGAGATGCCTCAGAGACTGCTCTCTTGAAATTCTCAGAGATTATTTTCGGTGATGTGATGGAAATTAGGAAAAGAAACCACAAAGTAGCTGAGATCCCCTTCAACTCCACCAACAAATTTCAGGTGAGTTTTCCTCATACTTGGCATTTTTATTATGACTGCACTATTTCTATATGCATATCCCGTTTGTAGAGTATGTAGTTTGAATAATGCCCGACTTTAAAAACCATCAGGGATGTAGGGGCTGTCCATCTGATCAATTCAGATAAAAGTTCTAGTCTTCCTCCTTTCCCCAAAGTAGGATAGAGAGAAAGAAAGGTGGAGAGCTTGCAAAGTCTTGACTACTCCTCTGCCTCATCCCTCTATATCACACACACTCACATGTCCCTCCCCTGCGACATTCCAGTTTCTTACAGTTGGGGGTGCATTTATAGTAAATAAAATGCTTGTGATAGCTTTTGACTTTCAAGTAACATTTGTAGACGTGAAAGTTAGCAACCTAGATGAAAGCAAAAAGGAACAGAGGAGCATGATCTCTTTTTGAGCACCTATCATGTGTCAAGGTGCCCCATGTCGGGGACTTATATGTTGGGTCAGCAGTTGAAAACCAGCTGCCGTTCCTCGGGGAAGACGCGGCTGTCTGCTCTTGTAGAGTTACATCGGACACTCACAGGACCAGTCCTACCCTGGCCTATAGGGTCCCCGTGTGTCAGAACAGAATCGGTGGCAGCGAGTTGTTAGGTATCAGGCACGTTAATACATTATTTCATTTTATCCTCATTTAAGACAACACCTGCGAGATACTAATAATTCATCCCAACTAATAAATAAGGGGGCGGGTCCTTTAAAATTGTTGACTTGCATCTCTATGTGGGTCAACCAATTTTCATAACAAGCCTGCTTCATGCCAAAGTTCATGTGAGTAACCCTTTGGTGTTCTTAAATACAAACAAATACATGGCTCTGAGATGACCTCCTTTTACCTGCGTGGGCGGCAAAAAAGTTGCTGACACTTTTTTAATCCACTGCACCCAAGTCAATTATAACTCAGAGACCCCAAAGGACAGAGTAGAACGACCACGTTGGGTTTTCTAGGGAACATATGTGCCCAGACTTTCTTATGTGAAGCCCCTTTGTTGTTAGGTGTCACCAAGCTGGATCTGACCCAGAGAGACCCAATACACAACAGAATGAAACTGCACAGTCCTGCACCTCCCTCGCTAGTGGTCCTCTACTGGGTCCCAGTGTCACTACCACTGTATCACCCATCTCTTTGAAGACCTTCCTCCTTTTCCTGCCCTTTTACTTTACTGAACTTGATGCCCTTCTCCGGGGACTGATCTCTCCTGACAATACGTGCAAGGAATGTAAGACAAAATTTCACAGTCTTTTGCCCTCAAGGAGTACTCTGGCCACACTTATTCTGAAACAGATCAGTGTGTTCGTTTAGCAGTCCATGGTACTTTCAATATCCTTCTCTTAGCACCACAATTCAAATGCATCAATTCTGCTGGTCTTCTTTATACAATATTCAACTTTCATATGCATATGAAGCAATTGGAAATACTATGGGGGAGTTCAAATTGGAAAACTCTTGGTTTTCAGTTGAGCAAAGTGCAACACCATTGTGAAACCAGGGCTTTGTGTGTGTGTGTGTGGTGTGTGTGTGTGTGTGGGGGGGGATTGGCAACAAAACACACATTAAGATAAATAGGTAACTACCAAAAGTTTATGAATTTTAAATCCAGGAACTCTTTCACTCAAAACAAAAGTGAAAATAGAATGAGTAGCAAACTTAAAATGTCAATAGTTATAATAGTTATTATATACCGAGCATTCTACATGTGCGAACCCATTCAGTTCTCACAACTCCATGGGAGTAGGTACTATGATTCTACCCTGCCCATGCTGAGCAAATGGAAATACAAAGTACATCACAGGAGGGTCAGAGCCAGGATTAAACCCAGGTCGTTCAGGCTCGTGAAGATTAGAGGATCTTCCAAGATTCAGACTCTCAGGAGGCCTCACTGGCCCACAGGAAACACCTTCCTCGACTATGAAAAATGAGAAGAAAGCCGGTTCTGTGAGGTTGTAATTTTGCATGTACAGCAGGGGTTCTCAGCCTCCCTAATGCCACGACCCCTTTCATACAGTTCCTCATGTTGTGGTGACCCCAACCATAAAATTATTTTTGTTGCCACTTCATAGCTGTAATTTTGCTACTGTGATGAATCGGGCGACCCCTGTGAAAGGGTCATTCTACCCCCAATGGGATCGTGACCCACAGGTTGAGAACCGCTGATGTACAGGAAGCTGGGTAAGAAAGTGGGGCATGCAGAGTTGGGACTAACACAGAGTGACTCCCCTGAAGAGATCAAAGACACTCTGTAACTGCTATCAGAGTATTAAATGAGTAGTGTGTGAAGTACTTAAGACAGAGCATGACACACCATCTACACGATTAGGCCTCATTCTTTACATTTTAACATGTGCTATCTTTTAGAAGATCATACGATGGTATTTTTGTTGTTGTTTTTCATTATGTTTACTTATTCATAAAAAAAGTTGGAAAAGCTATTTTGTCCCTGTGATTTCTGCCCCGCCTCTCTCTTAGCTTTGCTATCCAGCAGTCCCAATCAGAACTGTTGGGTAGAATGATCCTTGGCAATGAACTTCTTTTCTTCCAAATACTTCAGCTTTCTGAAATTCCCATGTCAGTGTTAGCCATTTTATTCATATATATAGATAGAGATATGCATTCCTAAGGATCTTACTAGGACAAATATAGAAGTAGAATTTCTAGGTCACGTGTGTTTATGCTAAAATTATAATACCTATTGCTTAACAGTCGTCCAGAAGATTGTATATTTTTTTCTGACATCAAGGCAGTGAAACGGATCAATCCCAAGATAAAGAGGCGCAGGAGACTCCAGCTAACCTCATACCTGCCTGATCTCAGAGTAGTGTCTGAAAGACGGGGGCTCACAATAGGGTGCAAAAGATGGATTGAGATGTGGCAGCTAAGAGCCCCCACCCTTCTCTAACACCCCAGGAGATCTCATACAAAGCTTAATATTTCACAGACGTATAGCCATGAATGGGCTCAGGAGCCTTCTCTAAAGCAACTGCTTTCTGCTTGAGACCCAAGCTGCCCTTTGTTTGGTTTCAAACTCAAGAGGATCCTCTGGGCAGGGGCCACGGCGAGATCTCGGCATGTTGCCTGGCCACAAGACAAGAACAGAACACGTCTGCTCATGCCATGATTCTTCTTCCTTTACATCTCAGGGACAGGCGTCCCAGAGAGAGTAAGGAATGACCTCCCCTTCCTGTGATGGCAGTATTAAAGGACCTGTGCAGCTCACACCCTGATCATGAAGACAGAATCAGGAGTCAATAATGTGCTCACTTACTTCTCTCCTCCAGCTCTCCATCCACGAGACCGACGACCCCAATGACAAACGCTTCCTCGTGGTGATGAAAGGGGCCCCTGAGAGGATCTTAGAGAAGTGCAGCACCATCATGATCAACGGCCAAGAGCAGCCCCTGGACGAGAGCTCAGTGGAGGCCTTCCACACAGCCTACATGGAGCTCGGAGGCCTGGGCGAGCGCGTGCTGGGTGAGTTCTTTGGAGTAAAACTCTTATGCCCCACCTAATATGTGCAAGGTTCTGATCCAGGGTTGGGTCACAAGACGAGGCAGGCACCTTCGAGTAATGCGTCATATGGTAGAGTAGATATGGTATCCACATGAATCGCACTAAGAATATAGTAAACATTACGGTAAAGATGTAACAAAAATATTGTGATAAAACAGAAAGGTAGGGCCAAATCCAATCAATAGAATCAGGAAAGATTTTTTATAGAACCAATTACACTTTAAACTGGGTCTTGAATGATACATAACATTTTGAAAAGGGGGGTTTGGAAAAGTAATCAAGGAAGAGAGAACAACTTGAGCCAGAGCGCAACTATTTTTTTTAAAGAAACCCCTTAGAAATGTAGAGGAGTGGAGGTCGGTGGGAGGTGGAAGAGGGTGAGGGGAGCAAGGAATGAATGGAGGAGGGAACACTAGAACTGATACTGATGATGTATATACAATGCATTTTAAAAGTGATTTAATCATGGAAATGCATGATATGTGAATACTATTTCAAGAAAACTACTAAGAAAAGAAAACAAACTTGATCAATGGTCACCATGGGTGAAGAAGAGAGAGTTATTGCTTAGAGGATGTTGAGTTTATGTTAATAGTGGTGGGATAATTTGGAAAAGGATATTAATAACGTTGTACAACACAATGTATATGTATCCTCAATGGCATTGAATTATACATGTAGTTATTGGGGAATTGGAGAATGATTTCTTGTGTCTATTGTGGACTGATATTCCTGGGGTTTGTGGTTGAAACCCACCATTGGCACTCTGGGAGAAAGATGATGCTCTTTGCTCTCGAAAAGATTTAGAGTCTCAGAAAGTCAAAGATGCAGTTGTGCCCTGCCCCACAGGGTCACTTGGGCTGGAATCAACCCCATGGCGGTGAGATCCTCATTCCTAACAGCATTTTTCTCATACTTTTCTTGAATAAAGGAAATGTCATACTTCTCTCCTGATGTTCCAAGTTTCCCCGTCTACTTTATGTAGTAGTCTATGCTGTTTTCTCTACCTAACATGCCTCCCTAACCCCAAGCTTCCCTTATTTCCCTGAAAACCCTCTATTCCTGCCTCAGGATCCAACTCCGGCATTATCTCCTCAGGAAAGTGTTTCCTGACCCCTGAGTCGTGTGACTCTACTCTGTAGAATGACTACGTTCTCTCCACTAAATGGAAACATATTTACAACTAATGGCTCCATATGCCTAGAATATGGCAGAGTCTAAAGGGAACACAGTTATAATTTTTTTGGTTAAAAAGTCTTTTCTCAAATGATGTGCTATAGAATTAACCAATTCTGGTGCACCATAATGCTAAATAATAATGTTAATAATAACATATCGTAAGAATGAAATATTGAAGGACGTCTTTTATCATGTCTTATCCTAGTTTCACTAACTTCTAAATTCATGCCTATTCCAGGTTTCTGTCACCTCTACTTGCCACCAGAGGAGTTTCCAGAGACCTATTCATTTGACACCGATGCCATGAACTTCCCCACCTCCAACCTCTGCTTCGTGGGGCTCTTGTCCCTGATCGATCCTCCCCGGTCCAGTGTGCCGGATGCAGTTGCCAAATGCCGGAATGCTGGCATCAAGGTGGGAGCTATTTTCCTGATTCGAGGTGTTCCCTTTCTATGCTGTATCTAATCTCTGTCTAAAGACTTGTGTTGAAGAAGATGGTCAGTATTTATGTCTCTTTATGTAGATATCATAATTTCTCCCCTCTACTTTTTAAACCTTGGTGTTGACCGGGTTAAGATTTACAGAGCACTGTTACGTCTACTAATTTTGTTTCGTCTCATTCATTGCAATCTTCAATGTACTATCACTTATCTAATGTTCTCTTTATATTTCCTGTTTACATTTCTCCTTTCATAACCCTTGTGAACATTGTCTTTAGATCTTCAATGGTTAATTCAAAGGTTTTCTTACTGCACTAGGGTTCCCCTTATAGAGCTGTCTACTTGTTTGGCTGAAAATTGAGCCATGGGGGGTGAGTTCAGTTCAATTCCAGACTTGATGGGTGACAAGTCTCTATGGTTCCCTTAGTCTAAAGGTCATAGTCTCAGGAGTCCCACCAGTCTCAATCTCACGAGTAAGCCTAGACTTTTTTTTAAATGATTTTGAGTTTGTTCCACATTTTTCTCCCACTCTGTTCAGGTCTTCTAATGTGATCCTTTTCAGAGACGTTAATAGTGGTAGCCAGGCACCATCTAGTTCTGGTCCCAAAGCCATTAAGATGATGTTTGCGTAGTCCCCTGAACTATTTGTTTCCATGTGTCTCTGATTTTCATCGCTTTTCTACTATGCACTGGTGGCATAGTGGGTTGCACATAGAGCTGCTAACACAGGGTCAGCAGTTTGAAACCACCAGCTAGCTCCTCTGAAGGAGAAAGATGAGGCTTTACTCCCATAAGAATTTACAGTCTTAGAAATCCACAGGGGCAGTTCTATGAGTCAGAACTGGTATGGTATGAGTCAGAATCAACTCGATGGCAGTGAAGGTTTTTCCCCTTCAGTTTTAGGTAATGAGAGACCAATAGTTCCTTCTCAAAAGGCTGCTCACGAGCCTTTCAGATCCCAGTTACCTCTTAGCAAGTACAATATAGGACATTGGCTTTGGGCACTACATTATACCAATTGCCCTTGGTGTCCCTTGAGACTATAAAAATGAGCCCCAGACCCAACAACACATCCCCTCAAGGTCTTTGGTCATATTTTGGGTATACTCCTAAACTCCCTTTTACACCCATTCAGCCTGGGTGTATATTGGTGCATTAGCTCACTGCTCACCACAATGTGCACAATTGTACACAATAGCATTTGTCTCTGCTGCCTTTAACCCCAGCCCTCTTTCCAGTATTTTCCCTGCTGTCATGTTTCCTTTTCCCTCCAACCATTCTTCTTGCCTATTGTCTCTCTCATCTCCCAAGTTTGAATCTACTTCACCAGGTCTGGTCTCCATTTGGAAGACCTGTAACTATGCAAGTCCTTCTAGTTATGGTGCAATGGCCTTGCTTACTAACTGATACCTTTGTTTCCTTATTCCAACACCTGGCTGTGCTTTACTTTTGATATGCACATATCTGCGTTGACTTCTGGGTGGTGTTGTCATGTAGCTTATTCTCAAGTTGCTGTTGCTCTTCTGTCGGAAGAACTCTCATATTCTAAACTTCGTCTTGTTTTCCCACATTGTGTTGATTTCTATTTTTCTAGAAATGTTATGATTCCATTGTCATGTTTGAGGGGCACTTTTGGTCCATATTTAATCCTTGGTTAGGAATTTTTTCCCCGTTCATTGTGATATCTTCCATCCCATTGACTTCTTACCTACATGGTTTCTTTCGAGAAAGCAGAGTTTGGACTTCTTGTTTCCTATTTGGTTGTAATTTTTCAGTTTTCCTGAGGTGTTCTCTGAATTAGTTTTTTGCCTTTGGTTTGGGAAAGTATGATTATGAAATGTCCTGGTGATTTTCTTTTGAGGTCTATCTTGTTTGGGGTTGTTCATTTTGAATACATTTGAGGGGATCACCCCCCCAAAACCAGGATTTCCCCCCCTAAAGCTATGTATTGAAACTTTTTGTGTGTCTCCCTAGTTCCCTGTCCTAATGGAAGTCCACCATCATTCCCTTCTGTTATCTCTACTTACATTAACTTGGGTTTTTGGTAACTGTCTCCTAAAAACAAAATGATTTTGTCTGTGAAATAAGCTACAACATTAATCGCAATGAGAAGAAAGCTAAAATACAGAGAGGCCATATTTTATCCAAGACCATGTTGGATGTTTAAAGGTTTTCTTGCTAAACTTGAGGCCCAGCCTCCAAACGCATTCACCTTTGTGATACCTAAGCCCAAATTGAGTTCTATCGCCATGTTGATGTTGAGAATCCTGAAGGAATGCTTCCAATAGACATCTCTTAGCTCTTTTCAAAAAGAACGTGTTAGCAAAGGGAAAGGGCTTACTCTGTCAGAGGAGGAAATGGATGATGCTTGCACAAGGGTTGATTAACAAGATCCCCGTGTTTTAGAGATATACTTGTGTCTTTAATCAAGAACTTCCCACAAGGGCCAGTCATAATAATCATAAGCCATATTCTTCCAAATCATGGGAGAGCAGGCAATATTGAAGTGCTCCTACTGCAGCTCCTCTAGTTCCTCCTTGCCCACCCGTCTTCCTTGTTGCCCTCTAGGTGATCATGGTGACAGGTGATCATCCCATCACAGCCAAAGCCATCGCCAGGAGTGTGGGTATCATTTCAGCCAACAGCGAGACAGCGGATGACACGGCAAAACGTCTCAACATTGCTGTGGAGCAAGTGAACCAACGGTGAGCACAGAGCCAGTAGAGCAGAAACTGGAGTTCTTACACACGGGGCCCAGTGGGCATCAAAGTGCTATGTGTTCTGGAGAAAATCACCTTCTGGTGAAATGCCCACTTAGGGTGACACTATAATGATGATCTATAGTTCACACACCCATTTATTCACAGACAACTAAAAAGCGCTGAATGTATGCCAGGCACTGTGTCACTGCTCAGGAATATTGCCTCCTTTGTGTAAACTTCAAAATCCCAGGAAGTAGACTTGAAAATGTGTGCTCTACGTAGAGGAAAGACAATAGAAACAAGTGTTATCTGAAATTACTTGCCATTAATCTGGTTGTATAAATGGGACTGTTAAGAACCCTTTGGATTTCCTGCAGTGAGCTTTTGGGGTATGATATGTTCTGTTGGCTTCGTGATATGCAGTATGTAAACATCTACATCATTTATTTTTGTTTGATCATAAATAGAAGGAAGTGTTCCTAAGGAGAGACTATTTTTCCCCTTGTTTCTTTGCTTACGCTTATCCATCCTCTCATCTACCCATATAGACAACCATCCACTTATTTATGAATTCTTATTTTCCCATAATTTTATTGGGGACTCATACAACTCTTATCACAGTCCATACATACATCAATTGTATAAAGCACATTTGTACATTTGTTACCCTCTTCATTCTCAAAACATTTGCTCTTCATGTAAGCCCCTGGCATCAGCTAATCATTTTCCCCTCTCCCTCCCCCCTCCCCCCTCTCTCATGAACCTTGATAATTTATAAATTATTATTTTGTCAAATCTTACACTGTCTGATGTCTCCTTTCACCCACTTCTCTGTTGTTTATCCCCCAGGGAGGAGGTTATATGTAGATCCTTATAATCAGTTCCCCCTCTCTACCCCTATTTATGAATTCTTTGAGCATTTGTTGAGTGCCAACTCTATATTAGACACTCTGCTAAACACCGGAACTATAGTAGCAAGCTATGCCTGCCATTAGAGCTTTCCTTCTAGCTAGAGATATAGAAGAAAGCAAAACAAAAAAATTATTGTCGTGGGATACATATCTCATAGGAGACATGCAAGGGAGAGTAGGGCTAGACGTGGGAAGAGTCTACCCTAGACTAAGGCGATCAGAGGGGGCTTGCAACTCATGGTCTTGATCATTTAAATGCATCAAAGTTTCCAGAGCCTGAAGCAGAACTGTCATGGCCGTTGCTATGTGTTTATGCTCATGAAGAAAAGAGGGAGAGACCAATAGATTTCTTTTAGTTGACTCACGCGTTCATGTTGCTTAGGAACACAGAGATGTCAGAGCATACACTATGACGAGGCTAACAAATGACCAAATAAGATAACCCACGTGAACGCCAGCTTCTGAGCACAGCAGCGGCAGCAAACGTCTGCTCACCGCAAGCTCGGCAGTTTGAAACCACTCGCCATTTCTCAGGAGAGACAAGGCTTTCGCCTCCTGTAGAGAGTTGCGGCTTTGGAAACCCCCCTGAGCAGTTCTACCTTGTCCTACAGGGTCACTGTGAGTCGGAATCAACTAGATGGCAGTCAGTTTGGTTTTGTAGTTTTCACTTGCTAAGGAAAGCTCTGTCTGAGAAGTACCGCATCCTCACCTGTCCCTGTGATAAAAAAAGCTATTTGGCTTCATTCCTATTGTTATATGGGTTCCAAACCCCAAATTCACTGTCCTGGAGTTATTCCGACTCATAGTGACACTAGTCTAACACCAAGAAGTGACTACTTTTTTGAGTCTCGGTGTACTTAAAATGCGGACTAAATTTTCTCCAGTACTTAGAACCACTGCTCTCTCACTTACTATTGGGAGCGGAAGAAAGTTGGTTTCACACAGTATCAAAGGAGTGTCAACCCATGAACTACTCAGAACTGTCCTCCAACTTCAGATCTGCTCTGTGGTCTCTCCCGGCCCTTCTAGGGATGCGAAAGCCGCCGTGGTGACTGGCATGGAGCTGAAGGACATGAGCTCCGAACAGCTGGATGAGATCCTGGCCAACCACTCCGAAATCGTCTTTGCCCGGACGTCCCCCCAGCAGAAGCTGACTATCGTGGAGGGCTGTCAGAGACTGGTGAGTAGACAATGCCAGCGGGTCCGTGTTCACTGAAGAATCTCCAGAACAAACTTCCAGCTCAGACACAGACCATCGGGTCTTTTGAACGCTCTTTGCCGAAAGGCATCAACATTTCACCTCTCTGCCCTCTCGATGGGTTTATGCTCAACTCTGCTCTCCTTGTTCACATCTGAGGGGAATGGTGCCAGAAGCTTCCCCCACCACACACGGAAGGAAGAAACTCAAATTGGATGTCTGCATCCCACCACTAGAGCTAGGGACTTCTGACTGCTAAACACGTGCGTACTGTAGCTGGTGCGAGTCTTTTAAAAAACAACTTTAAACGTAACACACAGCCATGTCCCACTTTAGTCTATTATACCCACTAGTTGTTAGTATTTGGCTACATCTTGTTCACAGTGTATTATCCTTGTTTCTTGGATTTCCTGTCTTGGCATTTCTCCCCAACCAGACCCCTACAATCAGCTCAGTCCTCCTAGCCTTAAGAGGAGATTGAGACTGCGATGCTCTTGCAAGCCTGCGGTCCCTCCTATCTGCTCACCCGCCTTCTCTCACCATGTCCCCGCAGGGTGCAGTGGTTGCTGTGACAGGGGATGGCGTTAACGACTCTCCAGCTCTCAAGAAGGCCGATATTGGCATCGCCATGGGCATAGCGGGTTCTGACGCAGCCAAAAATGCCGCCGACATGGTCTTACTGGATGACAACTTTGCGTCCATCGTCACAGGGGTGGAGGAAGGTAAGTGGGGCATCTAATGGTCTGACCAGGGCTGGGGTCACTCGGTGGAAGGAAAGCAAGTCCTATAAGAAGAAACATTTTCCCCTCCAGGTCGCCTGATCTTTGACAACCTAAAGAAGAGTATTGCTTACACCTTGACCAAGAACATGGCCCTGCTTTGCCCCTATTTGATCTATGTTATTTTGGGGCTCCCCCTCCCCATTGGCGCCATTACCACCCTGTTCACCGATCTGAGCACAGACATTGTAAGTAGCACCAAAAAGAACGGTGGTCTGTCAACTTGCGAAAACACATGAAGATGACCCCAAAACAGTGTCTCTCTGACGGCACTGAGTGGGTCTGCTGGGCCACGGATCCCTTCTCTCCGTAGATGAGCTTTCTGAGGTTTGCGTTTTTCGTCATCCTCCAAACACTCACACTGCTTTCTCATTTCATCCGGAGTCTCTTTTCTTAAGGGAGGACGAGGGCAAGAGTGGGTGGAAGCTGACACCGAAATAGTCCCTGCACGGCTGGTGCCCGGTAGCTGAAGCAAGAACTTTACAATCATCCTTTTTTAAGTAAAAGGATGCGATTGATCTGGATGCCCTGCTCTGGGTTGATTCTGACCCCTGGTGACTCCATTTCTGCAGATTTCAACTGTGCTCCCGAGGGCGCTCAGGACTGGCACCTTTTGGAAGCACATCATTAGACCTGGGTTAGCGGTACCCCTAGACACCTTTCACTTACCGTCAGAAAGAGCAGGCATTAAACAACACATCAGTGATCTATGAATAAGCATGGATTATATCCATGTAAAATTATGCATATTTATATACCAGTTTATTATATCTGGTTTATATTAGGAAATTACACGTAAGTATATATTCTATAGGAACCCTGGTGGCATCGTGGTTATCGCAGGGTCCACAGTTGGGAACCACCAGAGATTCAGAGTTAAAGAGTTAGTCTTGGAAACTCACAGGGGCAGTTTTCCCCTCTTCTATAGGATGGCTATGAGTCAGCATCGACTTTATGGGAGTGAATTTGGTTTGGGGTTATATATTATATAGTTACATATTAAATATAAGCACATTACATTAACCGACCAAGCGTTGCAATAAACCTCACCCAGATCCATGTAATGATCGGAGAGCTCTCAGGAAGTGATTCGGGTGTCTGGTGTCTCTGACTGAAGGAGCACAAGTCAAGTTCACAGCACCATGCTTCATGCTCCTCTCTGTTGTTTCCAGTAGCAACGAGGTAATTCCCACCTTGCAGAGAACCAGAGAAGTCTTTATTGCTGAAGGGAATTGAGGGCCCCAGCCACAAGGTCTCCCCATTGCATTTTCTGGGCCTCTTAGCTCATTTTCCTTAACTGCAGGTGTTCTCTGGACATGACCCTCAGAATAGGAGCAGTCGGTATCATTTGCAATAGGTAGCAACTTGCAAATTCTCTGGCCTCGCCCCAGGCTCCCGGAATCAGAAACTCTGGAAGTGTGATCCATGTTCTCCAGAGCCTCCAGTTGATTCTGGTACTTGCTAAAGCGTGAGGCCCTTCTAGCGCGGCTTGGCACTGTAGTCTAGGGGCATGCCGAAGGGGAATCGGTTGTGGAAGAAATCAACCCCTGAGGAGAAAGTGTTTATTGAAAGTAAGTTTAGATACTTGTCATGGTAATAAAAATCAGATTGAGGTGTTTTAACCGACTATTTAAAAATTCTGTCCTGACAGTGAGTCCTGCACCAATAGGTGGCCTACCCATGTCATCCACCACCAGTTCAGTCAGTCTTACCCACCTACTGCTATGCCACCTCTGTGATGACTGTATGCTAGTTAGGACTCACAAGTTCTCTCCTGTCCCCAGATTCCTTCCGTTGCCTTGTCTTATGAGAAAGCTGAAAGTGACATCATGAACAGGAAGCCTCGCCACAAGGAGGACAGACTGGTGGACAAGGCCCTTGTCATCTACTCTTACCTGCACATCGGTATGATCAGGGCATCTCAGACCTCCCACACCAGGGTCCACCCCAGAGAAGTGTTTTGTGACAGTCACAATGTGTGTGTGTGTGTTTCTCTTTTGGTGGGGTTTGGATGACAGGAGGGAAATTGTAGAAACGTACCCACGATCGCTGTTCTTTCAGGCCTCATGCAGTCCCTGGGAGCATTTGCTATTTACCTCACCGTGTACGCACAGGAAGGGTTTAGACCCAGCACTCTCATTGGCCTCCGGGAAGAATGGGAAGATGATGATGTGAACGACCTGGAAGACGACTATGGACAAGAATGGGTAAAGGAGGGTGTGTTAGACAGGGTTCTCTAGAGAGATAAAACCAAATTGCTGATAATTTAATATATTTATTTATAAAGATAATTAGGTATATAATGAGAAATGGACTGTTAAATCATATACAGATAAATATATAATACAAGAAATAAACAGTTAAATAAGAAAGCACTACAAATGGCTCAGTGCAACTCACATCCGTGAGAGAAAGTTGAGAGACTAGCAGTCCTTCAAGTCTAGTCTGCTGCCAGATCTTCCTCTATTTGTAGAGAGAGCTAGGCTATGTCAGCACAGCAGCCAGTCACAAGGCAGGTCACCAACCACCAGTCCCCAGCTCCAGAGATGTCTTAAAGGGACCTCAGCTCACAGCGACAGTCCACAGGCGAGGCATCCCACAGGTAGTGTAGCCTTTAAATTGAGGCACAGAACAAGCAAGGCAGCCACACACTGGTCTGATGATCAAAGAGCGAGAGACAAGAAAGGCAAGGCTCACCAAGCCATTTATCTATCCGCCCTTCAATTAATCCCACGTGTGTTTATCAGCCAGGCTGGCACAATAAACTATCTCAGAGGAGGATGTTCTACCCTGAGAATCCTCTTGGTTCCTCCCTTCCTATCAGTGTCTTGCTCTGATGGATGATAAAACTTATTGTTGTCTAGCTTCCTTAGTGAGACAATTGAGTGAAAATTACCTCAATAATTAGGGCTTGTGAATACATTGATTGCCCTTTGCCAGGACTCAGACTTATCTTCAGACTAGATCCCTAGAGCTAACTATTGAGGTTGTGCCAATTCATAGAGACCCTATGGCAGTGGTTCTCAACGTCCTTATGCCACGGCCCTTCAATACAGCTCATGTAGTGAACCCCCAACCTAAAATTATTTTCGTTGCTACTTCATAACTGTAATTTTGCTACTGTTAGGAATCAGGCAACCCCTGTGAATGAGTCGTTCAATCCCCAAAGGGGTCGCGACCCACAGGTTGAGAACTGCTGTGCTATGGTCAACAGAAGCAAGCACTGTCCAGTCCTACACCTTCATCACCATTTTGGTTACATTTGAGCCCATGGTTGTTGTCACAGCATTTGTGGTCAATCCAGCTCTTCCAGGGTCTTTTTTGTTGCTCCTCCATTTTACAGAGAATGATGCCCTTTCCAGGGACTAGTGTTTCCTGATAGCGTGTCCCTAGAATGTGGGATCTCACCATCCTTGCTTCCAAGGAGCATTCTGACTATACTTCTTTCAAGACAGACCACAGTACTTTCACCCATAATTCAAATGCAGTGGTTCTTCATTGGTCTTCCTTATTTAATGTCCAACTTTCACATGCTTAGCAGGTGATTGAAAATACCATGGTTTAGCTCAGTCCCTTTTTAGTCCTCAGAATGACATCCTTGCCCCTCAACACTTTAAGGACGTGTCTTGTGCGGTGGATGTACCCATTGCTTTGACTTGATCTCTTGACTGCAGTTTCCATGAGCATTGACTGTGGACCCAAGCAAGAGGAAATCCCAATCTTCTTCATTTATCATGATGTTACCTATTGGTCCAGTTGTGAGGTGTTTGGTTTATAGTCCAGAGTGTCTGATTATTTGTTGAGTGTACAGATTAAATAAGTGTAGTGAAAGGATACAACCTTGACACATACCTTTCATGATTTTACATTAGTAATCATTCCCTTGTTCTGTTCAAACAACTGCCTCTTGGCTCTTATAATTACAAGAAAGTATTATGGAATTCCAATTTTTGTTATTACTTTCCATACTTTTGCATAGTCAATGAAACGTAAAATCTTTTTGACATCTTCCTGGTATGCTCTGCTTTGAACCAAGATCCATCTCACATCAGTGATATCCCTTGTTTCATGTCTTGTTATGAATCCAGCTTAAATTTCTGGCAGCTCTTCGTCAATATACTACTGTAACTATTGTTGAATGATCTTCAGCAAAATTTTGCTTGCATGTGATATTAATGATATTGATGTTTAATTTCCACATGAGACCACCTTTATATAAAATGAGTATAAATATGGCTCTCTTCTAGCGACATGGCCAGATATCTCTTCTCCCAGATTCTTGGTATCGGTGACTGAGTACCTCCAGTGCTTCATCAACTCGTTCAAACATTTAATTCCTGGAGCCTTGCATTTGCCCAATTCCTTCCATGCAGCTTGGCCTTTCCTTCAGAACCTTTATTCTTTTTATTTAATTGTTTTTTTTAAAAATCATTTTATTGGGGGCTCGTACCACTCTTATCAAAACCCATCCATCTATCCGTCCATCCATGGTGTCAAGCACATTCAGGACCATTGGTTCTTGAAATGGTTGAATGTTGACTAGTTCTTTTTGTACAGTGCTTCTGTGCATTCTTTCTATCTTTTGGTGCTTTTTGCATTTTTCAATATATTGCCCATAGAATCTTTCAATATTGCAACTTGAGGCTTGAGTTTTTCTTGAGTTCTTTCAGTTTAAGATATGCTGAGTGTGTTCTTTTTGAGTTTTTGAACTCTAGGTCTTTGCACGTTTCATTATAATATTTTACTTTGCCTTCTTGAGCTCTTTGACATCATCATGCCTTCCATTTGCCTTAGCTGCTCTAGGATTAAGAACTACTCTACGATTAAGCTTCAAAGTCTCTTCTGACATTCCCTTGGGCTTTTTCTTCCTTTCAAATTTCTTTAATGAGCTTTGGATATCTTCAGGTATGATGTTCTTAATGTCATTCCACAGCTTGTCAGGTCTTCTGTCATTACTGTTAGCGAATCAAATCTATACTTGAGATGGTCTAACAATTCAGATGAGATACACTCACGCTTGTATATTGACTAATGGCCTTGTTTTAATTTTCTTCACATGTGAGCAATAGATGGTCAGTTCTGCAGTAAGCCCTTGGCCTCATTTTGGCTGCTGACATTGAGCTGTCCCATGGGTCCCTTCCAACAAATGTAGTCAATTGGACTCCTGGTATACCATCTGGAGAAGTCCATGCTTATCGTTATAGTTACCTCTTAAAAGGGGGTATTTGAAATGAACCCACTGTTGATCTTACAAATTCTATCATGCAAGGTCCAGCTTGGTTTCTATCACCAAGGTCATGTGTTCCAGCTGTGCTTGCTTTCTTTGGTTTCCACTCTTTGAATTCCAAGTGCCAACAATTATCCAGGCATCTTGATTGCATATTTGATGAATTTCACACTTAAGAAGGTAGAATTCTTCAATTTCCTCCTCACAAGCTTTAGTAGTTAGTGCGTAAATTTGAATAATAGTTGGAGTATTTGGATTTTCGTTTATGCATATAGATAGTATGCCTATCACAGACAGCATTTTACTTCCAGGTAGATCTTGACATTTGACAGCAAATACATCATTCCCATGGAAAGTGTCATTCCTAGCCTAGTAAACCATGTGATTGTCTGATTTAAAATGGCCAAGACCAGCTCACCTGCCTAGGATATGGATTTGTGTGTGTTCCATTTCATTTTTGACTGTTTACACGGTAGATTGCCTTTGCATTCATTTTTACATTGGTTTTTGGAATTGGTGTGTGTTACCAGTTCTACAATACCTACAGTTAGACTAAATAAATTAGCATTCTTCCTTTATTGCCCTGCTTAAGTGGGGTTCACCAGGGTGGTGGTGGTGGTGGTGTTCTTTCCAAAGCCAAGAGGTGATCTACCAGCATTGGTGTGGTGGGAAATGGGATGAAATGTTACAGAAAAGCATTGAAATGTCTCTTAAGTTTTCCCTTTGAATATCACGGTCCCTTGACCTCTGCTCCCTGACAGACGCGGTACCAAAGACAGACCCTAGAGTGGACAGGCTACACAGCCTTCTTCGTTGCCATTATGGTCCAGCAAATAGCCGATCTGATCATGAGGAAAACCCGGAGAAACTCCATTTTCCAGCAGGGTCTCTCCAGGTATTGTTAGTTTCTGATCTCCTAGCTTAACCTGCAATGTCAAGAGTTCAGAGGCCTGCTGCTTCAAAGGGCACAGCTAAGGCCTTGTCTTGAAGATACAAGGCATTTATTACCTCTGTTGGGTGGCATCCATCTGGGTGGTAGCACCACTGTCTCATGTGAATTCAGAACCTGGTCACTTACTTTTACCAGTATTTCTTACAGCAATAAAGCCATTTGGATTGGGATTATTGCACCGATCATCCTAGCCCTAATCCTCTCCTATGGCCTTGGGAGCATTCCAGCCCTGAATTTCACTATGCTCAGGTGAGTTCATCTTGTAAGGTGTAACCTGCCTCCAACCTATCATGAAGTAAATCAGCATTAGCTTTTAGAGATGTCTTTCTCCTTCCCCAAGTATTTCAAAAGGGGGGAAAGGCATCAGTTTTCTCTTAGAGGCTGTGAACCTGTCCATTTTCTCAGAAGTGAAGGTGGGACTTAAAACATCCCTATCTCTGCTCTCAGCCAATAGATTGAGTCAATAGCAAATACTGCTACCAGACCTACTGTCATCGAGTCAATATGACCTATGGCAACCTTTTACCATCACAGTCCTGGTTAAATTAAAAAAGAAAAAGAAAGTTCTCCTATTTGTTTTGCATGACCCAACACATTTATTGTTTTTTCCAGTGAGGCAGGACAATAAACAAGAAGCCCTCTGCCCAATGCTTGGGGTTGGGCCTTGCCCAGGGATGCACTGGGACTCACCTTCTTCCCTTCTGTTTCCAGGCTGCATTTTTGGTTTATGGCGGTGCCATATGCTATTTTGATTTGGGTATATGATGAGGTGCGAAAAGTTCTCATCAGGCGTTTTCCTGGAAGTAAGTAGTAATATGATTTGTGCAACTTTGCTTAACAATTTCAATGGAGTGATTTCTGGTTGACTTTTTTTCTCTTCTCCAGGTTGGTGGGATAAGAACATGTATTATTAAGGCCATCTCATTTCCCAAGTTTCCTGACTGCACACTGATGTTCTTCATCTTTTCACCACTTTCTGGAAGATTCCTTAAGCAATGAGTACACCATCAAAATTCATCGAAGAGAAGGAAAAAAAGTTGTGTCGAAGATATTCAACTGACGTTTTGTACTTCAATGCTGAGATTCAACTGTTTGTATATATATGACTTTTATCTCTAGTCCCCTGCTTTAAAATACATGAATGTCAAAGTAGTCATATGGGGAAGAGGACATATATATTTCAAGTTTTGTGAAACCCAGAATCTGCAGGGATCTCATAGATCCTTAAGCACTAGATAGTATTGCTCAAACCTCCATTCCATGCTCTACTGAAGGTCCGATAGCTTCCTAAGATTTTTGTAAAAACCTATGGAACTTAAGGTATTTTCAGGACTGTCTTATTCAAGAAAGGTTAATTCAGCTGGAGGTTTGTAGGAAATCGGGGTGGCAGAAAAGTTGTTGTTGTTATTAGGTGCCATCAAGCTGGTAGCAACCTCTAGTGACCGTATGCACAACAGAATGGAATGCTGCACGGTCCTCTGCCGTCCTTCCGTTGTTCCTATGCCTGAGCCCACTGCTGCAGCCACGGTGTCAAGCCATCGTGATGGCTTCCTCTTTGTCGACGCCCCTCCACATTACCAAGCACTGGTCTCTCCAGGCACTGGTCTCTCCTGACAATAGGTAAGACGAAGTCTCACCATCCTTGCCTCTAAGAAGCACTCGGGCCTAAGTCTTTCAAATACAGTTCAGTTTGTCCATTTAGTAGTCCATGGTATTTTCAATGATCTCCTTCGTGGCGTTCAAATGCATGGATCCCTCTTCAGTCTTCCTTACTCTGCTGCAACTTTCACATGCAGATGAGGCACTGCAGCACACCATGGCTGGGGTCAGGCGCCCCTTGGGCCTCACGAGTCATAGTCTTCAATAATCTCTACTTATGCTGCAGATTTACCTAATGCGATACGTCTTTGGATCTGTTGACTGCTGCTTCCAGGAGACTTGATTGTAGAACCAAACCAGAGGAAATCTTAGCAAGCTGGACAACCTCCAGTTCGAGACGAGTCTGAAAGTCCCCATCCATCTTGCCCTGACACAGTTCTCCTGGCTGAATCAGCCGTCATTTCGACTTCTTGCCACCTCACCAGTCCTTTTAGCCTCTGCTTCCTCTCTTCCCAGCCCCCAGTGTACCCCTCTCCCTACCCCTCTCCCTCTGAACTCTAGATGACATGGATAAAATGTAAAGAGAATCCCTGGCCTGGAAGGCTCTTAAATACCAAATTTCTCAGAGATCACCGACTCTCAACCTGGGGGTCGTGACCCCCTTTGGGTCGCCTAAGACCATATTTCCGATGGTCTTAGGAACTGAGACACCGCTTCTCTATCCATCTCCGGGCGGGTCCGCCCACATGCAAGGTCACCACAACAGGAGGAACCGTATTAAAGGGTCGAGGCATCAGGAGAGCGAGAACCGCTGCTCTGGAGTAATTATTTCTTTCGTGCTTTTCTATGTTTATTTATTTTTAGGACAAATGGAAGCATAACATTTTCTATTCTGCTTTTTAATGTACCATCGAAGACATTGTTTTCACGACTGTGTAATATTCCAGACGTTAGAGATTTAACCATATCTGATTTGTGGTTACTTAATTTTTGCCCTACTATTCCCTTTTATATTTAAAAAAAGCCTTCCATTCTGTTCTTAAATACTACACCATGTATCTAATTGTTTCAAATACATTTTTTTTTCAAAATGGAATTAGGAGATTAAGAGCATCTGCAAGGCCTCTTTACACATCAAAATTCAAGAAATGGAAACATGAGCTTTATTCTGAGCAGTTACACTATATGCATATTGGGAGAACATTTTGACTCCACCTCTACCCTCACCCCAAATGATCAATGACATCACGTTTGCAGGTAGGACTGCAGAAGCAGCAATGGAATGGGTCCAGGACTGTACTGTATGTTAGAAGAACTTCCAAGATTGGTTCAGAGTTCTCTGACCAAGACAGCCAGGATATAACTCCTGATCTTATGGACCTCAGCACTCAAGGTTCTGTCAAGGGCATGCCCAGATGAGTCCCTAAGGTCTAGGCTGACCCTTTCTGGACTGGCTAGGAGAGTGGTACTAATCTACTTTCATTTTTCTTTATTTTTAAAAATTCATTTTATTGGGGGCTCATACAATTCTTATCACAATCCATACATACAT